CAGTCTGAACTATACAGAGTAAGAGCACATAAATACTAGTGAATAATGCACGATAAAAAATAAAATAAAATTAAAAAAAAAAAAAAAGAAGCTAGCATCGTTCGTGGCTGAGACAGTTGAGGAACATAATTCAGTGGTACTGTGAGATTTCCTTACAGCACAGAAAGTATTTTTAACAGTCATGAATTACAGTACTACTTAATACCCTATGAAGACGCTTTAAAAACAACCTTGTACTTTAAGTCCTTTTTTTTCCCCAAACATTCTGTCCAAAGGATTAATGTTCTATTTGAATCAAGTGCCATCCAAATGTTCAAGTCAAAAATATTTATACATTTATACTCAGTTGTTTTTTATTATTTATTAATTATTTTATTTACTTCTTTTTTTTTTTNTTTTTTTTAAATTTTTTATTTATTTATTTATTTTTTTGTGTGTGTGCAAAACGCTTTTAAACAGTGGAAGAAACTGGAGGAGGAGTGGAGGGGTTTCCAAGGCGGGTGTGCCCCACTCGTCCCCTCGCTCGCTCCCAGCAGGGTTTGGAGCAGGAACACTTGGAACAGCAGTTGAATCCCGGGATGGCTGCGGACTGGCCTTGGGGCTGCGGGGACAGCTGGGGACAGCTGGGGACACCCCGGGGACAGCTGGGGACACTCTGGGGACACCCCGGGGACAGCTGGGGACACCCCAGGGATACCCCGGGGACATCTGGGGACCCTCCAGAGACAGCTGGGGACACTCCAGGGACAGCTGGGGACACCCCGGGGACACCCCAGGGACAGCTGGGGACAGCTGGGGACACCCCGGGGACAGCTGGGGACACTCTGGGGACACCCCGGGGACAGCTGGGGACACCCCGGGGACATCTGGGGACCCTCCAGAGACAGCTGGGGACACTCTGGGGACACCCCGGGGACAGCTGGGGACACCCCGGGGACATCTGGGGACCCTCCAGAGACAGCTGGGGACACTCTGGAGACAGCTGGGGACACTCCCGGGACCCTCCGAGGACACTCCCGGGACACCCCGGGGACACTCCCGGGACACCCCGGGGACACCCCGGGACACCCTGGGGACACTCCGGGGCTCAGCCCGGCTTCCCACAGCTCCTTCTCCATTCACAGCAGCGATTTCCAGAAAAACCAGGGATGTGAGCCCAGCCCCGGGGACAGGGCTGGGGACAGCCCTTGGGGACACCAAGGAGGGGCTCTGCACCCCAAATTCTGCAGGACAAGGGGGACAAAGCCCTGGGGACACACGGAGGGGCTCTGCTCCCCAAAAACCGCAGGACAAGGGGGACAAAGCCCCTGGGGACAGTCCTTGGGGACACAGAGAGGGACTCTGCACCCCAAACACTGCAGGAGAAAGGGGACAAAGCCCCTGGGGACACCAAGGAGGGGCTCCGCTCCCCAAATACTGCGGGACAAGGGGGACAAAGCCCTGGGGACACCAAGGAGGGGCTCTGCTCCCCAAATCCTGCAGGACAAGGGGGACAAAGCCCTGGGGACACCAAGGAGGGGCTCTGCTCCCCAAATCCTGCAGGACAAGGGGGACAAGGGCTGGGGACACCAAGAAGGTGCTTTGCACCCCAAATTCTGCAGGACAAGGGGGACAAAGCCCCTGGGGACACACGGAGGGGCTCTGCACCCCAAATTCTGCAGGACAAGGGGGACAAGGGCTGGGGACACCAAGGAGGGGCTCTGCACCCCAAATCCTGCAGGACAAGGGGGACAAAGCTCCTGGGGACACCAAGGAGGGGCTTTGCACCCCAAATTCTGCAGGACAAGGGCTGGGGACAGCCCTTAGGGACACCAAGGAGGGGCTCTGCTCCCCAAATACTGCGGGACAAGGGGGACAAAGCCCTGGGGACACCAAGGAGGGGCTCTGCTCCCCAAACCCCGCGGGCAGTTCCAGTTTCGGGGCGCTGCGTGGGCTCGGAGCCCCCGGGGAAGCTGCGGAGGGAATCGTGGCTCCGGGGATCCGAGCAGGAGCCGCTCCCAGCTCCGGAGAGGCCGGGAATGTCCCCGTGTCCCCGGCAGCGGGGCTGGCAGAGGGTCACGCAGCCCCTCGGCAAAGCGGTGTTTAATTAGCGCTAACGAGGAGGAGAGGAGCTGGTCCTACGCCAGGGCAGCTGCGGGGAACTCGGGTGCTTTAACTCTGCGCTCGTTAAAGGTGCTTGGTATAACTTTAGATATAGAATATACAGGTAATATTGCTAATAGTCAAGCATAAGAATAAAGGTGCAGACATACCATAAATACTGATGCTCTGATTTTACACTGTCAGACCTAGATGAATGCAGGTTCCTATTCACATTATAAAGCAGCCCCAAAATTCTAGAATTTAAAATAGTGTCGTAAACAAAGAGGAGGAAGGAGTCGGTTATGATCTGATCTTCTTAATCTGTTTTCCTTGGAAAAAAAATGATCAAAAAATTCTAAGGCACTCAGGAAAGCCGCATACAATCGATGGACTGCTCTGTTCTCACCTTACATTCAGTTTTAAGGGGTTATTCTTTTTTTTTTGCCTTTTTGTTGTTTTTTTTTTTTTTCTCGGAAGAATACAATCATTGCCATATAACATTTTCAAACATATCATTAATCCTCCACACACAGGAAACATTAGTGCAAAATGCTTGCCCTCATCTACCAGATAAGGAAAAACCCAACGCCCTTCACATTTTAGAAGTTTGCCTTCCTAATAATAATAATAATAATAATAATAATAATTAATAAAACAAACCCAAATNAAAAAAAAAAAAAAAAAAAAAAAAAAAAAAAAAAAAAAAAAAAAAAAAAAAAAAAAAAAAAAAAAAAAAAAAAAAAAAAAAAAAAAGAAAAAAAACCCCAAAATATACAGGAAGTTGTGCTAGGTATAAAAATATATATTTTCACTGTGCAACTTGACTCTCTCCAGACTCTCTGTCCTAAGCCATTCAAGTACTTTGCTGCTGCCCCCCCGGTGGCCCCTCCGGCTGTCTGGGAACAGGTTTGGTCCAAATAAATCCCTCCAGCCAAGTGCAGCCCCCAGCCGGGGGGCTCAGCCTGCTCCCCACCCCCAGCAAGTGCCAAAAAGGAGGAGGAGGAGGAAGAATCATCTGCAATACCTTTTCTCTCTATATTTATATTTATATATATGCACACAGACACACACACAAGGGACGACTTTTGATCTCCGGCACCCGGAGCCGCTCCCAGCTTTGCCTTAAATTTTTGGCAAACTCAAAGATTTGGGGATCGGGAGGGTCCTCAGCCAAACCTGAGCCCTGCCAAGCTGGCTGAGCTGTCCTCCAGCAGCTGTCCCCATGGCCTGGGGACAACCCAAGGAATTGCTCCGTGTCCCCAGGGATGGCTGGGGACAAAGCCCCCCGAGCTCAGCCCGTGGTCCCCGGGTTTGTTTAGTGACGTGGGTAAAGTGCAAATAGAGCCGAGCCCATTCCCACTTCTCCGAAGCATCCCACACCTCTGCACCTGCACCAGCCCCCAAAACCTGGTCTGGGGCATCACAGCCCCCCCAAAAAAGCCGTGCCAAAACCCAGCGTGGGGCAGGACTGCCCTCATTACTGATTTGTTGTGTCAGGAGCAGTGGCACAGGCTGGGCAGCCTCGTTAGTTACGATGCAAAAAAAACTGCTTCAAGTATCAAAGAAAACAAAACAAATGGCCAAAATTTGGGTTATCCTCTCCCCGCTCCCCCTTTCCCAATGGAAGTACAAAGAAGGAAGAAAACCCTGAGCAAAGCGCTGTCTGGATTAGGGAATCAAAGCAGGAAAGAAAAGAGGAGCACAGCCACAGCAGCCAAAAAGTGACTCTTTGTGCACCTTGTTCCTAGTCCCCAACGTGTTAGAGAACAAGCTGCAAGTGTCATTAAAGCAGGTCGTTAAGTCACAGTAAAAATAACCATCATTAAAAAAGGAAAGGAAAAAAAGGAAAAAGCCAAACTTGGCTTTAATGTCACTGTCCCCATCCCCCGTGGGACCCCCAGCCTGGCCCCAGCCCTCAGGGGAAGCTGCAGGGTCCTGCTCTGTGGGACAGACTCTGCTCACTTCTTTGTAAAGGTGAGGGACAGAGCAGGTACCTGCTGCCCATCAGGCTCCAGGGACACCCACAAGTCCCATCCCGAGGCCACCACAGTCACCACAGCCTGGGGACATCAGCCTGCAACAACAAAAATAAAGACAAATAACTCCACATTGGGTTTTTCCTAGAAGGGGCTGCGGGAAGGCGAGCAGGAGGCAAAGCACTTCCTCCTCCCCAAAACCTCTTCACAAAAGGGATCAAAGCTCATTTTTTCTTTTTAATTTTTGCATCCAGTACACTCCAAATGATTAAAATTTGGTTGGCCTGGAGAGGAGGGAGGGGGGCAGAGGGTGAGCTCTGCACGCACTGAGCTCTGCCTCCGGTGCGGATGCTGCCAGGAGCCAACGCCACGAGCTCCCGACTCCGTGCCCTTTGCAGCAAGAACAACACGCTCTCCACGCTCAGATTCCTCCCTAAATCCCTTCACAGGCTGAGGGGGGACTCCTCCCCTCGCAGTGGGTGCCCCAGGACCTGCACGCCCTGGGGTGCAGAGGGGTGACAGAGCCCAGGAGCGGGGACGTGAAGGTGCAACCACGGAGAAGCGAAGGAAAAGGAGTGGCTGGGAGGGAGGAAGGGAGAGAGAAACCAAACCCAAAGCCAGCTGTATTGGGCAAAAACCAGACCACAAGCACAAGGGCAGCCAGGCTCTCCACCTGCATCCCACGCAGTCCTCCCGACACGCGCCAGCCTGAACTCCCGCGGATCCATCCCCGCTCCAGGGAGCCGCAGGAACCTCTCCGGGACAACAGCAGCCACGGCCAGGCTCCCCCTGCCTCCAGAGGGGTCTGGCCACCATCACTGCCACGATTTCCCCCAGCCCATCCCACTTGGCTCGAGCCCTTCCCGAGACAAACGCGGCCAGTCACAGCACCTGCACCCGAACACGCCTCGCTTTCCTGTTCAGTGACAAAACTCTCCTTAGAGGACAAGGTTAACGATGGCTTTACTTCTGAGCTGAGTGATGGATGGGGTGATGACAGGGTGGTGGTGGGTGGGGGGTGGCTAGCTTTTCTCCTCCCCTTCTAAAAAAAAAAAAAAAAAAAAAAAAAAAAAAAACAAAAAAAAAAAAAAAGGAAAGGAAAGGAAAAAAAAAAAGAAAAAGCTACAATCTTATAGACTAACCTCAGGAATATCAAAAAAGGAGCCCAATATTTTTTTAAGTAGGTCGCCACAGACCTAGTCATTTACAGTATAACGAATGCGATTATTTCCTTCATAAATTTTAAATACAAGCAGAATAAAAATCACATTTTTTTCAGGCAACAGTAGCAGTTCAGTAGGTAAGTGGCTTGATCACATTTTTTTGTTTTGTATTAGTAATGCATGCAAGCAGCTTTAGTATTACAGATCCCTTATAGGTCATGAAATGTTTGCTCTCTCTATAAAGTCCCTCCATAAGTACCATCTTGTCTTCTCACGGGGGTTTCGGGCCGGCTGGAGGAGCCCGAAGCTTGTTCGAAAGGTTGCGGAGTGCTTTGGGTTTCCGACGCCATGGCATCCGTGGCAGCTGCCTCCTGGATCACGGAGCCGGCGCCCTCGGCGTCCTCGCCCTGCTCGAAGGACTGGTTGGATCCATTGCTGAGCTCTACATTCACTGTGTTAGTTCTCAAGGCTACTATAGTCCCCGCCTCGCTCCTCCTCTCTGCATAGATGCGCTGCTCGAAGGCCTGAGCAGCGTTGGGCTGGAAGTCGGGCTCCAGGGGGACAGTGTTTGTGGAGGAGCCCATGACGGTGCGGTACATCTCCATCCCCTCGGGCAGCATGGATTTGATCTTGGGCAGCCAGCGCTTGCGCACGCGCCGCGCGTTGGTGCACATGTCGGCCGCGATCACGTTCATCTCGCTCTCCTTAAAGCTCGGGGCAAAATTCTGACAATACACTGCAAAGACAGGGAGACACGGGGCTCAGGCTGCGGCGGGGAGCGGCACAAAGGTGAGCCCGGGCTCCCAGGTGCCAGCGGAGCTTCACCCACGGACCTGAGCTCTCCACGGACACGGAGCTCCTCAGCCGGAGACAACCGCGAAGGGAGAAGAGCTGAAGCTATGAACACCACGGCTGGCAGAGGGAGGGGGATGCAGAAGGGCCCCTCACTCCGTGGGGAGCCCCACAGCCACAAACCAGAGGTGGACAAGAGAAAGATCCCACAAACTCCCCAGCAGCAGCTCCATTAACGGCTCCTAAACCCACAGCGCTGCAGGGAATGTCAGAGCTGAGGGGCTGCCCAGGGGATTGTCCTCTGCCTGTCCCTCTCCTCACGCCACCCCTGCATGGCCCGGCAGCCTGGCTGCTCCAGCATCCCTCTGCTGGCACATCCAGCAGGATGGGAGCTGCAGGGGCCCTGCAATCCCTCGTGCCCTGCTCCTCTGCGGGAGCCAAGCACCTGATGTTATGGAGCAGCATCCAAGGAACTGCCACGGTGAATAACTGTCAGCACAGGGACAAATCCAGGCAGTAGGAACCCATCTCATGTCCTGGCACACAACAGCAATGCCCTTCCAGCTCCCCTCAGGAAGGACCATGGCTGGAAAGTCCAGAGTCGGGACACTCTAGGATAAAACTGCTAACAGGGAGCTGACTCCACCATGTTCAACCATTGCTGGAACATCTGCCCCCTTATCCCTTTTCACCAGATGTCACAGATCTCCCAGGGCAGCTGGAAGGCCCCTGGACTTCACAATTAGGGAGGGGAAAGATTTCTCTTCCAGATCTGAAAAACTACATTTTAAAAATTGCTTAAGAGTTTTGTTTTCCAGCAGAGTAATATTTACACATAGATTTACTCCCCAGAATTCAGCCAAGGTGAAAGAACACAGTGATTTCCACTGCATATGAAGCCCATGGTGAACAGATTTTCCTGCACCCCTCAGGGTTTCCTCCAGCTCCTCCCTCTCCAGCACCTCCTGTCCCAAAACACTCCAGGTATCCACAGGTGACGGAGGGGGAAGTGGTTGATGGAGAGCAGATCCCACCCACAGCTTCTCTGGGCAATCAAAAAACAATGCAAACTAAAAAATAAATGGATTTTTCTACAACCCAATTCCACCGTTATCACACAACAGAGTGACCTTCCCTGGCCAGGGCTGGGCCATGCTGTTCCACCCCAGCAGCAGAACACCCCTCTCCTTACATTTGACTGCATTAAGGACCCTGCTGTCCAAGGGCTTCCTGCTGGGATCGCTTGTGGAGGATCTGATTCCAGTTCCGCAGCTGTTGGCAAGTGTGTTCCTGTGGGGAAGGCAAAGGGACATCCTGGGAGAGGGGACAGGGGACAGCCACTGCCCTGCCCTCCTCCCTTCAGCTCCTGCTGCAGGCATCACCTGGATTTTAAGGTGAGGAATGAATTGGAAATGTGCATGGAAAGGGAATAAAGCTCTCAAGCATCACGAAGCAAATGCACAGGGCTGAGTGCAGAGGATGCAGCACTTGTGACACGGGGTTAAACCCCTGGGAGGTGAAGGCAAAGAACCCCCTGGGAGAGCAGGAGGAGCAGCAGGACGGGACCTACCGATCGAAGAAGGTGGCCAGGAGACGTCGCAGCAGGACCTTGTGTTTGACACCAGCACATAAATGGCAATTCATCAGCTGCCCCCGGGTGATGTAAACGCCTGAGCCTGCAAGGGTGCAGAGGGACAACCCAAAATGAACCCCTGGCACAGCCACAGAGCCACCCCCGAGCCACCCCCAGCTCCTCCTCGCTGCTGGGAACCTCTTCTTCACCTGCTGCTACAAGGAGATGGGGATTTCTGGAAAATCCTGGCAAATCCTTGGGGCCTTGGCAAGTCCCAGGCAATAACAGCTCCTAATTTTATCTGTACAGGCAGGAAGTCTACGGGAATCAAATGAAAGGATTCTTATTTTCTCACCAATGCACACAGTGCAAGGTTTACACTGTGATTTGATATGTACAGATCACATTATTTATTCTTTCTGAAGTGAGAAAACCCCAATCCATTTGGCCTTTTTTTTTTTTTTTTTTTTTTTTTTTTTTTTTTTTTTTTTTTTAGTGCAGGACTGTAGAACACAGAGCTGGAAAGGAAAGAAAAAGCCCATCTAGCACACAAGGAGGTACTTGGTTACAGATCTAACTGCTTCCAAAACCCCAGCCCATCACCTCTTGATACCTCTGGTGAGCAGGGAATTTTCCTTCTAATGCACAGCAACTGCTGCCTTTGAACCTGCTGCCTTTAAGGATGTTTTCTGGAAGAAAAAGGAGCCCTGTGCAAAGCAGCTGGACACGTCCAGAGGTCTGGCAGTACTTTGCAGCAGGTTTTATATCAAACCTTTTCACTCTGCTCACAGACCAACCTGCTCCTGCCTCGGCATCGCTTCCAGGGAGAGGTTATCCCATTTTTCAAGCATTCTGTTACATGAGAGGGTTTTGGTCTTTGCTTTTAATTAAGATTAAATAATGGGTCATAGCTGGATCCAGAACACACTTCTGTTCTTGAGATATAAAAGCATCTGCTGGAGAAGGAACATCTCCTCCTGGATTTCCAGGGAAGATGATTGTCCCTGGCCTCCTGGATGGAGCTGCCCCTCTGCACCTCCCCTGGCACCAGAGGCACCCCAGGACACTCACCCTGCCCAGGATCCAGCATCCCTCTGGATCTCTGAGCCATGCCACATCTCACCAGGAATTTTCCTTGTATTCTCTTCCATCTAATGAGTTTTTTGGTTCTTTTTAAGTAACAGTCTCAGTCCCTCCCTCGAGTGTGCTGTGGAGACTGCAAGCCTTGTTAAAGACCCTTTTTCAGAGAGGGCTGCTCAAGTCTGCTGAATCAATTGTAGTAATGAAAAAACAGAAACAAAAGGAAAACACTCCCACTTGGAGGAGTTGAGGAAAACTTTCACAGCAGGATCAAGCCCCCCCTCCAGGTCTGAGACAGGAATTAGGGGAGTTTATTTTGTATTTTGAGAGATAAGGCATCAGAGTGAACACCAGCCACCAGCAAGGGGAACTTCACTTGAATAAATGAAAAATAACCAGGCAGCCACTATCAGTTAGTGATATTAATCTACTTTTTTTTCTCAGATTGAAAAATGTAAATCAAGCAGAGTTGCCTCAAACCAATTTCCAGCTCTGACTGTGAAAATAACCTGCACCACTTGATGGTTTTAAGAAGTCTCACATTAAATGGAAATAGGTACAAAATGAATATTCCAGATACAAAATAAATACTTGTGGCTGTACTCTGTGCTTTGCCTTCCATCGAAGTCCAGTCCTCCATCAGCTGCAAACCTTCGTGGGCATGCCCTGAAATCCTGACTGCTTCTCCAGAATGAAAATGAAATCATGCTACTCACCAAGGGAGAAAGGGAAGGGAAGAAGAACTGATTTGGATGGACTGTGCTGCCACATGTCCTTTTTGGACCAAGGACTTTGCAGGGATTAATCAAACCTCCCCACCTGGGGGCAGGTCTGGGATGTCCTGCCCAGCCATCCCCACACAGCTACATCCAAGGGAAAACCCCACAGCCAGGTAACTGCAAAGCAAAGCTGGGGGTAAGTTCTAAAAGCAGATTATGATTATTTCCACTGGAATTATTTCCACTTTCTGTGCAGTGCTGGGTGTGCCTGGGCTGGCACAGCCACCTGGTTTCACTCCTCCAGCTCTGCACTCTAAACAGCACCGTCTTTCACCTCACACTGGCCAGAAATCTTTCATAGAGGAATAAATTCTCCCAATATTGTAAATTTCCCCCAAAATGAAAATAAAGACAGAAGAAAAGACCAAACGCAATTCCTTCTCCTCCTGCTGCAGCATTTGACTACTTAGTAAATTGATAAAGAAAATTTTACAGGTTTTCCAAAGCTTGTTCACTGACACAAATTTTATCTCCTTTGCATTGTACATCTTATAATGTGGTCATTTTTGAGGGGAGTTTGTTGGGTTTTTAGACCTGTGATTCTAAATGAAAACAGACTCGCTGCAGCCACACCGAGCAGGAAGAACACAAGCTGCAGAATTCAATTAAAATGCTAAATTAATTCAATTGAATAAATCCTGTTAATGACACATTTCTCCGTCAGCAAATTAAAGGAAACTCGGAACTTTTCAAAAGACGATCGGTGACGAATAATCCAGAAAGACACAGCAAGGGCACACAACTCCAGCAAGATGGAGAGCACAATTCCAGAAGGACAACAGCAGCAACCCAAAGGCATTCTGCAGAAAAGCTACCTGCAACCAGCTCGAGTTTTTCCCCAGGGTCTCCCTCGGAGTAGAGCTTTGGGTGGCAGCGGTACCCGATCTGGCTGATGAGGCTGGCAGGGAGAGCCACCAGATCCCGGCGGATCAGGACGCAGGAGCGGTTCTCCAGCGGGATCTGCTCCGGCTTCTCTTGGGCAACTTCAAAATGAAAAGGGAAAAACGTTAAAATAACCTGTCACCAGGCTGACAGAAGGTCAGATTTGACTTCTTCACGCGGCGCTTGGAAATATTCCCCACTCCAGATGTCCAACCACGGGGCAGGTGTCACCTGAAAGCTTGGAAAAATCCCCTGGTCTCCCCCTCCACGGCAGCCTCAGGTTCTGCAGAAGCGATTCTTAGAATCTAATTATGCTTTAACTTCTCCTGAGTTAATAATTTGTGAAAATGGACAGCTCTGCCCAGCTGGCATCGTTCAGCAAGCGCAGCACACGGAGTTGCTGCCCCAAACACCCCAGGAGGGGGGCAGGAATTCCACCTGGGGGTTCTAAACAGGCAGTAACTTGCCCCAGTTTGATGAACATCCGCAGCAGTTTCATCCTTACTTCTCTGGATGGTTTTTCCTGCTGAAGTTAAAATCCAGACCCTGCAGGTGCCTCTGTTCTGAGAAAGGTCAGCAGAGCCTCTCCTGAGATGCGCCCACCGGCCACCTCCAGCCCACCTTCTCTTCCTCTGCCTTCTGCAGGCCAACTTTTCCTCACAGTAATAAAAGAAGCCCCCATCAACAAGGCAAAAAATGTTATTAAGATGTAGCTTCAAAACCAAAATACCAGATTTTCCCAACTCGCTCTGATGTACCATCTCCAGATCCCACCACTGTCCAGGAGCAACCAGTACCATGGAAAAGCTGGGAATACTGGGCTGTCCTGCCAGCCCCTCCAAATCTGGGTATTGTGGGCACACAGAGGATTGGTTTCTGAAGCACATTTACAGTCCAAGACCACTGGATTGCTTAAAATGACAATTTTGACAGCAACGAGGGCTGACCCATCAACTTCAGGACACGGTGGGAACAATTTCAGGGCTGAACTGCAGCCCAGCTCTGCCATGATCCACCTTTTTCTCCCCAAAACTCTTTGATAACGTGGCAGGAGCCACGTACAAACCCAAACCCAGCTCTGTGCTCGAATATCTGTGAGCACTGAGAGAAGCAGAAACCCCAGCAACGAGCGTTTCTGAACACAAAACCTGCCCTCCTCCAGAGGTGTCTTTTCCTGCCATTCTCCCCGAGTTCTGGGGGCCACTTTTCCTCTCTGCAGATAAAATAACAAGTTCTGCAGACTTGTTGCTGCAGTAACCCAGGGCGATGGCCGGGGGACAAAGGGAGCAGTGTTCTAAGTAGGACATGCCCGCAGTGCCGTGCTGGCTTGTGGCATCCTATCGCAGGCTCGGGAGCATCCCCACCCTCAGGGCTCCCTCTGTCCCCCAGGAGCAGCCAGGAGGGATTCTGGAATAGCAGGAGGATGGTCCTTGCTCAGGGAGACAGCAGCCAGCAGCAGCAGAACAACCCACGGGGTGTTCTTGAACCCTTTGTGCCATCACAGCCCCATTATCAGAGTGAAACCTGTGCCGTTCCCAGCTGTAATATTCCCAGCATCCCAGACCCAAGATCCCACTGGAGATGGGGGTCAGCTCCCACCAAGGGAGAATCCCAAAGACCAGCTCTGTTTTGAGGCTTTTAAAGAGTGATAAGCAAACCATATCCCCTTAAATACTGATATTTTCCAGCTTAAAGAAACCAGAAGCAAAGGGTATGGAGGAACCAATCCTGCTCTGCTGTCCTTCCCTGGCAAGGCAGGGCCACCAGGGCAGCTTGAAGGGAGGAAGGGACACCTCAGTCATCTCCCAGAGGTAAAATTAAATACACAACCCCTAGGAACTGCATATGTGAGCTACACAATCCCATCCCAGCAGAGGACTCTGCCCAGGTTATTAAAATTGAATTTTTAATACTTCATTTTTACTTTAACCAATGATTCAGATCAAAAGCACCCACAATATCCATCAGCACCATACTTCAAAAACCAAATTAAAATTCAGCTAAAAAGACCAAGTGCAACTCGACCCACTGCTGGATTTTGGTTGCCTCTGTCCTGCTGGCTCGCTGTCTATAAATCTCTTATTAAACACGGCCGTGAATCATTCTGGGGGAGTTTGCTTCCATCCAAGCATTAGCACAAAATCAACGATACCAAACCAAAAAGAGATTTGGGGCTTTCAGTGGCACCTCAGTTGAGCAGATAGCAATCAGTTATGTAAAGGAGCAGGACACAAGAGCCACTTTGGTCCCATGTTTGCACAGAAAGCCACTCTGTTTGGCCTTTCTGCTCCGGAGAACAGGAGAGTATTTGCTTCTAATTAATTTGTATCTTCAGAGGGCAGCGGCTCCTTCCCTTTGAATGAAAGGGCAAACAATGGGAAGTATTGTTAAATACAGTTTTGTTCCTGGACAAGAAAGGAGCTCCCAGCCAGCAGAGAGGGGCAGGAAATCATTACAGAGGAAGCCACGAGAGCTGCCAGCCAAACACTGGAATGTTTTATTTATTTGGATATATGCTTTTATCCCAAACTTAGCTGGATGCTGCAGCTGCAACAGGTGGTGCAGAATGGGAAATATCAGTTTTCCTGGATTTTTTTGGCAGAAGAAACAGCCTCAAACTAACTCAGGGGTCCATGCTCCATGGCTCCAGGCTCTGCATGATGCTGGGGCAGGTGAACTCCTTATCCCTAAAACACACTCCAGAGATCCCTCACAGCACCTCAGTGCTGAGCCCAGGATGGTTTGGTGACACTGGGACTTCTGCATGTCCCACCTGAGGTGTTTGGGGCTGGATTTGCTCAGGTGAGTGCCTGGGAATTGCTGGACACACACCTGGCCCCAGCACTCACTTATCTCCTTACTTCCTGACAATCCAAACAGCAGGGCTTCAAAATGAGTCATGAAGACCAATTCCTACCAGTTTGGGTTCTCCAAACTGCACACGAACATCAAGGTGCTCCTGTGGGTAAGAAACAACTGTTTCTGGTTTAGGAATGGGGTTTGGAGATACAGAAATATCAGTGATGGAGCCTCACCCAAAAACTGATGTTTACAGAGTCCCAACATGTAACCACATACTCAAGCCCTGAAGAAAAGACTGGAGAATCCATCTCCACCTGCTCCACCACGGATGCAAACACGTGGATGATCCTCCCCTGTTCCCTACACGGCCAGAAGTCTCTTTTCAAACAGCAATATTTTAACATTTCTCTCCCATCAGCCCATTTTCCACTGGCAGTGGGACCACCTCAAAAATATCTTCCCTCCTCAGCCTCAGCATCACCAGCATCTGCTGCAGATGTAAACCTGTAGCAGAGGACACACGCAAGCACCACGGGATAGATCCATCACAGAGTCCCAACGGGGAGAGTTTACATTTCCCAAATAGTACATTTATACCAACGTGCTGAAATGCAGCCCTTTGATTTGTGACCTATTTATACAGGGAGGTAATCTGGAATTAGTATAGGAAAAATATTACCGCTTTATAAATACCCCTATCTTGCCTTCGCCTCAGATCTCAGCCAGGAGTGAAACATCTGCCAGCCTAAAATTAAACATCTGTGGTTTCAGAGGGAGGAAAATGGGGCTGGAAGTTTAATGCCAAAAAAGGCCAGAGGCTGAGTGCCCCCGGCGTGGGGCTCAGCCTTCCCCTGCTCAGCTCCGACCGTGCCAGGGTTGGGGTGGGGCAGTGCCACCACACAGCCACTCAGGCTGGAAAAGACCTCCAAGACCACCAAGTCCAATCTGTGACCAGTCCCCACTTTGTCACAATAAGACACACAGCCTGGCTTTCAGCACTTTGACTCCCTCTGCAAAAAGCCAAAGCGCTCTGGTGAATAACCGGCGCAGCCCTCGGCCGCTTCATTTCCTTAAACAAATCCACGAGCTCTCTGCTGCTGAGCTTCCTCCCTGTGACAGCCTGGCCACCCCAGGGACCGGAGGGGCCTGGCAGGATCAGGTGGCTGTCCCTGCAGTGGCAGCCAGCTGCTCCATCCCGCTGCAATTCCCGGCGTCGCTGCCGTGATTTACGTCGCTGCGGCGCGCCGTGCCCGGCTCCGCTCGGGATGCTGCACGGGCTGCATCATTTGGGATTCTGGCTTCTTCCTTGCCCTCTTTCCTTGCTGTCAGGAATCAGAGGCCAGGAGAGAAAACTATTCTCTCAGCTAATTACCACAACTATTCTGTAATGGCTATTTTAGATGAATTTTTAATGAAGCGTGCTCTTGTCAGTTCAGGATTTCATAACTTTCAAGTCCAGCCTTTACATTCCAGCCATTTGCTGCATAAAGATTTTCCCTTTTCCCTGCAAACCGGTGCAGCAGGAGCAGGGGAGGAGGACGGACCCTCACACAACTTTGCTGGTGCCTGTCAAAATTAAATTAACTGCATCTGCTCAGCAGAGCTGACTGACAAGAACGCGGCTCGGTGCAGAAAAGCGCCGAGCATCTGCAAGTCCTGCTGAAACCCACTTCAGCTCAGGCCCACGACGCTGTAATTAACAGGGATAAAAATACTTTTGCTTTTGTTTAATATTTTCTGGAGTTGCGCGTTCCTCAGATCAGATGCTGGAAACCTCATTAAGTCTCGCTCGTGTCCTCGAGGCCCACATGTTCTCCACAACCAGACCTAGTTATGGAGCGAGGAGCCATTTTACCGCAGTGCTCCCAGCCTGGCGCGCCGCCGCGGCCACCAAACGTGGCCAGAGCCTGGGGGGAAACTGAGGCAGCTCTTCCTACAGCTGCCACCCACCTAAGCATCACCCTCCTGTGTTTAATCCTGGCCTCATCCTGCTGTTCCTTTTGCAGGTCCAACACTTGTCCTGGTCCCTCACACCAGTGCCACCACTGCAGGTGGCACCAGCCTCTTCTCCCAGAAGAGGAAAACGGCCTCAAGCTGTGCCAGAGAAGGTTCAAGTTGGACATCAGGAGGAATTTCTTGATGGAAAAGGTGTTCAGGCATGCCCAGGGAGGTGTTGGGAGTTCCCATCCCTGGAGGTGCCCACTGGACATGGCACTCAGTGCTCTTTGGTCAAAGTTTGATCTTGGAGGCCTTTTCCAACCTTAATGATCCCGTGATTTGGAGGGATCTGATCCAGCTTTGGAAATTCAGAATGGCTCTGACTACAAAAAGGGGTGAAGAGAATAAATTAAAAACCCCCAGCCTTGGGGCAAGAAGAGGATTGGTGACCCTTCCAAGGGTGGTGGGTGGAGCTGAAGGCAGATGAAAATTGTCACTAGTGTCCCACCAACCCTCACCAGCACCAACACTTCAGATGGGGAAATAAAATGCAGAGAAAAAGAAGGAAAAGAAAAATCCAGCAACCCTCTCTGAAATTCAGAGCTTCATCTGCTCTGCTCCTCTTTGGCTTTGTTTTTGTTTTCACAAACAGGGCTCTTGGAAACCTTGGCAATCCCTCTTTTAAAGGGCTCCCCCTCCCCCAGGCCTTTGTGAGGCTGTCGGGATCTCCATGCCAGGAGCAGGATTAGCTGCCTTCTCTCTTCCATCTTATGCTTTCATTATTCTGCACCTTTTGAGAGGGTACAGTTTATCCCGAGTAATTAAAACACAGTTAGTCCTACAAGTCCAAACCATAAAGGAACAGCTTAGTTTTTACTTTTTGTCATCTCTTTTTTGCGTGCCCTCTTTTCCAGGAAGCCTGATACCTATAGCTGCCTTATTTCAAACAGGAAACTCCCCAGAAAGGAGCAGGAGCAGAAGAGGAATTTCAGCAGAAATGTGGGATATTTAGAGCCTTACAACCTGCCTCCTCCCTGCATGGCCCCTGGCATCACCACCTGGTTCTCCCTACAGAAAACAAGCAGGAAAACTTGGCTGTGGGATGCCCAGCTCTGGCACAAGGGCTGCAGCATCTCCCAGTGGCACCTGAGAAAGCTGCTGGGATTTTCACTTTTCCAGCTGGGATGATTCCTGCCCGACATGGATGAGGGACAGCCTCAGAGCTGCTGCCTGCACCATCCCCAGGCTGCTCCTGTCCTTGCCTTGTGAATTGGTTTTGTTCTGTTCCTGCAGGAACTGGCCCCGTGACAGGGATGGAAAACACAGTCCAAGGGCATAACCCCCCTGCTCCAAGGAGGCAAACCCACATTACTCACCACAGGCTCTACAGCGGGGGAAAAGCAAAATAAACCCAAAACAAGTGGGCAACAGCACAATTCCTGTTCAGCCTGCCTCCAGCAGCAGCCGTGGAGGAGACCCTGACCTTGTCCCACCCCTGATCCCACTCCTCTCCTGCCCCATCCCAACCACTGGGACCTGAAGCAGGACAGGGAGAACACTCAGGCTTTTGAGGCTCATTTCCTACAACTGCTTGTCCACTTCTCCTAACAAATATTTCTAATATTCAAATAGTAAATTCGCTATGTTTTCCCCCTTTTTCATATGGCTTAGTGAAAAAAACACCTTGGAAAATACTGCTTGTCTGCTTGCTGTCTGGCTGGGATGGGATGGATGGGATGGGACAGTGTGTGGGGGTGAGACCATTCTCAGTACTAAGGAAGCCTATCTGTTTTATGTAACAAAAATTGTCCTACTTGCCAAATCTTGTTCCTTGGTGAAGACTAAAATCAAATGGCTTTGAGGAAAGCCCATCAATGAACCAGAGTTCAAATATTTGCAACATTAGTGCAGCAATTCCAGCAGCCAGGCCAAGGAAGCAGCTCCAGGCGAGGAGATGCTGTGAGCAGCTGGAACCTGTGGGAAGATGTCCCTCCCTGGGGAGCTCCAGAGGATCAAAGCTGCTGCCACAAACACCTGCAGCTCCCACCAGGAGGCCACTGCGAGGCTGAGCTTCCATGTGGGACACTGCCAGCTCCATCTGTGAGAGCTGCCTCCATGTGGGATGCGCACAGGACAGCACCCAGTGGGCATCTCCCCCTGGAACTGAGCCCCTGGACCTGCACCCCACCTGTCCTGGCTCCTCAGGAGGGTCTGAGCCCTGCAAGGTGCCAGGGGAAGGGGCTGTGTGCCCAAGGAAGTGGGAGGGAAAGGACCTCTCGTGTCCCTGTGCCCACCTTGGGGCTGAGCAGCAGCTCCCAGACAAGCAGCACCAAAGGGAAGCTGCCTCCTCTGTCTGAGGCCCATCGAGGGATTCGCACCCATCCCTTAATCCCAGATTCTGGAAGGGCAGCAGAGGGATTTTATTTAGTTCTGGGCATTATGTTTGTAATGGGGAAATAAAAGAACATCAAGCCCCAAAAATGCTTTTCCCTTTCTGACAGTGATGTGTGGGACAAGGTTGGCAAAGGAGAGAGGGGCACTTCAGGCAGTGGGGAGAAAAGTCCATCTTTCCTTCCTTTTGCAGATATTCCTAGTTAACTTCAATAAAAATTATCTAGTTGATGTTCTCCCTTCCTCCAAACATCCCATGTTCATCACTTTTTTGGAAACTCTTCTTCTAAAAAGCCAGGACAGAAGACAGCTCCCAGAGTGACCACCTTGCCCTGGGCCAAAAGGGCTGGATGACCCAGGGCAGATGAGCTCAGCCACCACCTCGGGATGGATGTCACCACCACAGGGCTCGTGCAACCACCAGGCTCCTCGCTGGCAGCCTCAGCCAAAAAGCAAAGGCTGAAGTGACCCTGGTGGATGATGCAGCCTCTCATCTAAGAGTCACACAGCTGGGGAGCGACGGCACAGGGTGGGACCTGCCCACGCCACACCCGGACATCAGCACCAAACCCACCTCCGTGGGGCAAAAACCCAACCAGCGAAACCCCCAAAGACAAAATCCTATCGAACAACCCAAATCCCACAACCCCGAGGAGCGAGACATCCATTACCAGAGTAACCTCCCGAGGACTTGATGTACATCTGCCCGTACTGCTCCTCCACCATGGTGTCGTAGGCCTCGTCGTCCTCCTCGTCCTCCTCGTTGTGGTAGGAGGTGGGGCTGTCGGTGGTGGGGATGCTGCTGGCGCCGGGGCTGGTGCGCTCCCCCTGCGAGTACTGCACCTGCTGCACGTTGGGGATCAGCGTGGCCAGGCTGGGCACGCCGTAGTAGGAGACGCGCGACAGCTTCAGCGGCCCCGCGCTGGCGCCGCCGGCGCCGCCGGGCCCGTCCCGGGCGCCGGGCTCGAGCGGCCGCTTGCCGGGCAGGCCGGGCAGGGCCTGCAGCTCCAGGTTCTCGTGCTTGACGCGCGTGAGGAGCGGGATGGGCATGGAGGGGGACATGACGTAGGGCGCCGAGGCCGACTGCAGCTGGTTGCAGGGGCTCTGCGGCTCCGAGCTGGGGTCTTCGATCATGGTGGTCTGAGAGTCACAGTGGGGAGAGCTGACCTTGAACATCAAGTCCGTCCCTTTCTCCACGATGTGCTGGATCTGCAGGAAGCCCGCCGTGTACATCACCACCAGCTGCTCGCTGGCCGCCATGGTCAGCTTGCCGGTGTAGCAGAAGGACAGGATCTGCTGGAAGCAAGCCGGGGGGACGGTGCCCGGCAGCTCAAAGGCGTTTTTGCTGTTCCCACTGAACAAGTCTCGGAAGTAGAGGCTGCTGGCGGCCAGCACCGCCCGGTGAGCCTTGAAGGCTTGGCCCTTCACCACGATGGAGACATCGCAGTACAGCCCCAGCAGCCGCTGCTCGTTCAGGCAGCCCAGAACGGTGTTCCCAAAGTTGGGAATCTCTATGTGCAACATCTGCGACATGGCTCAGGATCGGCCGGAGCTCCTCAGACATTCAATGCAGGAATATCCAAAGTAGGGCACATCTGAAAAAGGGAGAAGGCAGGGAAGAAAGGAAGAAGGCTTTTAGACAGTTCACCAAAGCAGGCAGGAGCACAGGAACCCACCTCACCCGACATCAAAGGCTCCACGCCGAGCTCCGAGAGCCAATCTGGACAAGCAGTCGCTTACAAAATTTACTTATCGATGGTTTCGAGTGGCGTTGGGAATGCCATTGGTGGATGGCAAAGGATATTCCAAAAAAGCAAGTATTTCCTTCAAGTTGTGGTCTGCTTAAATAAGCACCACTGATTTATTCCCCTGGGGGTTTTTACTTTATGCAGGAAAATCTGAACGATAATGGGAGAGAACAGTAAAGCAAACGAAAGGCATTCAGACAGATCTCGGTAGCATTATATAAGAAACACAACAACCAGCAGCTATGTTGAAACTACAGAAAAGATATTTATAAAACAATGTGCCATTCTGCCCGAAATAAATACAGGATTCTGCCGGAGCGAGAGCTCCCAGGAAAAAGCACTTTGAAAAGCAATCTTCCCATTTGCACCAGAAAGAGGGAGCATTTCAACAGTTAAACCCCTTCTCAACAGATTCATCCTCCAACAAAACGAGGCTTAGCTCCAAATTAAGCCAGATATTTGAGCCCCAATAAAACAAACCAACGTGCCTGCCTGCCGCAGCGAGCCGCCTACCAAGTTGTCTCCTTATTTTCCTCCCCCAAACCCCGAGCGGGGCAGGGGGAGCCCCAGCCCAGCCCCGGGGGCAGGCAGAGCCCCCAGCCCGGTGTCCCCGGTACCGGCGGCGGGGACGCGCGGAGCGAGCCCGGGATGGAGGCGGCGGATCCGGCTGCGCATCCCAACCACGGCCGCTCCTCGGGGCCGGCTGTACCTTGTGGCCACGGGCAGAATTCCTGCTTCCACCTCCCAAAACAAGAGGCTGGCGCTGGAAGGGAGCCGGTGCGCAAAGCCGGAGCAGGTAGCGCTGGTGCAGCCTGGGCGCTGAAACTCCAGCGGAGCAAATCACTGCGGATGCACCAGACCCCCCCCGTGCTCCCTCCCCAAAGAGTCCAGGAGATTTCAAATCCTGCCTGTAATACCACTGAAGAAAAACTACATCGAACTAATACTGAAAGCTCAGAAGAATGATTTTTTGTTTTTTTAAAAAAAAGGAAAAAAAAATTAGAAGTTTATCTGAGAAAGATTTAAAAAAAAAAAAATCTCTGGGAAGAAAATAATAACCCACAAAGAACTGCTCTGTTCCCATTGCCGAGGGGAGAAAAAAAAAAAAAAAAAAAAAAAAAAAAAAAAAAAAAAGTCCTATCTGCAAGGCCACGGGGTAACAGGAAGAAAAGGGAACACACTCAGAGCCAATTTAATTGTATCTGCATGGTTAAAAAAAAAAAAAAAAAAAATTCTTCCAAGCGAGGAAGTTCGCGGTGCCTTCGCCTGGCCGGGAGCGAACGTACCTTGAGCAGCGTCCCCGGCGCGGCCGCTGCCGAGGGGCTCCTGTCCCCGACCGGCTGCTCGGGGGAGGGGGAAAATAAAATATAGTATCAAGAGCTAGGTTTGTATCTGCTGGAGCTCAAGCTTTTACCAAGTCAAATCTCCCCGGCAGCGCACAGCATCTAAATGAATAGGCCGGATGCAGATTAACATTCAGGCTGCTCTCTGCAATGAATAGAGCCCTTTGATTAGGGACCTGAAGTAAATGCCAGTTTCAAACCGAAGCTTTAAAAACAGAGAAATATCAGTGCCAGAGGAATGCTCTCAGTGTTGGTACAAGACAGACTTTTGATGAGTCACTGCAATGCAAACAAAGATGGCAGAAATACTGTACTGTATGCTGATGAAATGCTTAGTGGTGCCACGGCAACTGAGACAGGTTTTAAATTTATAGTGCAGTTTTGCATATGAATTACGCTGTAAACTGCCTCCCCTGCCATCTAGTACATCCAGAGTGTCAAAGCATTTAAACTATTCCAAACAGTCTGCAGAGCTGGCACTGCTGCTGGTTAACTCCTGCGGCCAGGGGAAGGCATGGAGCAGGGGTGCTGAGCATCCCCTGCACCCCCAGCATCCCCCCAGCGTCCTCCTGCATCCCTGAGCATCCCCGAGCATCCTCCTGCATCCTGAGCATCCCCCTGCATCCTGAGCATCCCCCCAGCATCTTCCTGCATCACCCCTGCATAGCCTCAACATTTTCCTGCACTACCCCCACATGCCCCCAGCATCCTCCTGCATCCCCTCAACACCCCCTGCATCCTCCTGCCTGATCCAGCATCCTCTTACCTGGCCCAGCATCCCACCCTAAGAGCCCCCCCAAAAGCACAGCTTTGGGAACATCCAAATCTGCCCAAAATAAAGGTGCTCCTTGGCCAGCCACAGTCCTGCTTCCTGCCCCCCCATATCCCCCCCCCCCAGTACAAGAAAGCCTTTCAAATGCAGGAAAAATGTTTACCCCTTGGGGAAAGCTTCTTTCAGTCTGTGGCTGAATCCACTAAAAGCAAATCCATTTGCTTAAGTAATGAAATCCCAGTCACATTGTCTCCTGGATTCAGATTTTAAATTACCTTCGCATTTATTGAGCATGTTTGGTGCTTTTTTCTGGGAAAGAGGGTGGGGCCTCCCTTTGCTTATTTCTCCCTTGCCCAGAGCGTTTTCCCTTGTGCCACAGCCTCGGATTTGGTTCAATTGCTGCGCTCTGATGGTCACACACAGTTAAAATTCCAGGGATGAGAGGTGAGGCCATGCCCAGAGCAGGATAAGTGCAGGAGCACAGGGCTGGTGATGCTCCAGCCTGACCCTTCCCTCCTGATCCTGCTCACAGCTCCACTTCCACATCCAAAGGGATGTTTGGTGCACCGAGTTTGAGCCCAGGGCAGGGAAGTGCTGTGCTCCCAGCAAACTCCTGTGACACCCCAAATCCCACAGGACCTGCAGAGCCTCACCAGGGCTCCCTGCCTCGGGGTGCTCAACACACTCACCCAACCCCTCAGGGGGTCACCGGGGTCCTGCCAGTGCTGCTGAGAGGGGACCCAGGTGACATCCTGTGAGGAGATCAGAGGTGACACCACAGCGACCAAGCCTGAGAGCCCAAAACCTCTCCCAGCCATGACACCACCCACCTCTGCTGGAGAAAGGATGGAATCTGCCCTGGCAAACAAAGATCCGCTCTGGATCTGTGAAAATTACTGAGAAAAAACTGAGTTGCAGAAAAAAACCATCACTGCACAGGCACCTAAGGAAACCTCATCTATGGTGGTGGGAAGAACATGGTGGAGAAGGATTACCTCCTCTTCTCTTCCAGGAAGGGCTCCCTCAGAGCTGGAGAAGATACCAGGGAGGTTTTGGATGGACCTCCTTGGACCCAGCAGGGGAGGATGTGTGGGACCAGCCAAGGACAGCTTGGTAGCACAGAACAAGCCAAACTTAAAATAAATATCAATTATTAATATTACTTAGATTTTGCTCTATAAACAAACAGGCTTGTCAGGAGTAACCTCTGTCTCTCCCTAAAAACACCACACTGGGCTAGTTTAGGGTATGTTTAAGGCAGAGAGAAGCCACAAAGTGCCCCAGCATCCCAAATCTTTGGCAAATCTCAGATAAAACCTCCCAGGAGAGTCTGAACCAAGATGCTGCACACAACTGGTCCCTCCCAAAATGCAGCTCTCAGGGAAATGGGGGGGAAGCAACAGTGTTTGGTTTAGAAACAGCATCAAGGAACACCAGCAAAGCCACACAAGGAAGCTGCAAGAATCCAAACCACCCCAATCAACCATCAGCCAGGACTGCTGGAATTTCTCCTTCCTCCTCCCTCTGCCCCTTCCTTTTTATGACCAGAATATATAAAAAAGCCTCCAAAAACCCAATCCAAAACCACCAACAACCCCAAATCATGAAGAAAGAAAATAAAACAGTCTTGAAAACCCAGGAGAACCTGCTCACCACCAAACCTCACATTCCCTAAAAACGACAGCAACAAAAAGCTACTGTGATTAGACAGCAAATGCAATAAAGCTTGATAATTTCTAACTTTAAAATTCCTCTCTTAAACATGATAATTTTTCTTTTAAATAGAGCACCAAGTGACTTTTAAAGGGTTTGAAATGGCTTCAGCCCATCTGACACAGGAAGAGCTGTGCTGCAGGTGAAATGACCTTTGCAACTCCAGATGTAAACTGTATTTTTCCAATCTCATCTCCCAAGCTGAGAGGTGTCCCAAGGTGCAGGAGGAGCCCCCAGCACGACCATCACCCCAAAAAATCCAGTCCCTGTTGGGCTGGAGCATCCTACAGGTGACAGATCATCAATAGGATATATCCAAATGGGAAAACTTGGATAAAACTGGATTAAAACCAGACAAACATCCCCCACCTTCATCATTTTACATATGTGACCATTCAAGTAAAACATCATTTTGTTTTCTGATGGCAGCCTCTTTCTCCAGCTTGTGGATACAGGAGGATAATTTGTACATCTCTGCCTGATTTTTGTAAAGTCATAGCCTTTGTCACAAGATGTTCATAAAAAATGCAGCTGTTATTTGAGACAACTTCCAGGAGAGTTTGGGAATTCTCAGTTTCTGCATTCATCTGCTTTGGGGGAAAAGAAAAAAGCAGGTTTGCTCTTTTCCAAACTTAATTCCCTGCTCTGAGGCCTGAAAGGTCAGGGCGAGGCGACAGCAACAAAGGAAAAAAGCATCGACCTAGAATAAGATGCTGCCATCAGAGCTCCCCCAGGAGTAATCAGAAATAATTAGATAATGTATTTAAATTGTCCTTTTTCTTAGCCAAACAACAGAGAGGCTCGGTGGAGAATGATTCCCCCAAAACCCCCCAGATATGCCCCAAGTCCTGCAGCTCCCCAGGAAGGTGAGCTGGGCAGCAGCTGGGACAGGGACAAAGGGACAGGGACCCTCCGGGGGGTGGGACACAAAGCAGCCAAAGGCTTTCACCCCCCCAGCCACAGCCCCGGGAAAGAAAAGAGCTGAAAAGTCCTGCCCTTGAAGGCCCCAAAGGGTCAAAGGAAACTCCCCTTTCTTCTGTAAATGAGGAGAGAGGGGGGGAAAATCCCACCCTTGGATGAGGCTGGCAGAGGGATGTCACCCATCAGGGCAGGGGGTCCCCAAAGCCACCCAATCCCCCCAGGCAGAGGGGTGGCACCTGCCCTGCTCTCACTGCAGGGTTTGGGGGTTATTTCTCCATTTTTTAATACAAAGGAAATGTAAAAACCCAAGGGAAAATATGCAACAGCTCACTGCAAACTCAGTGGCCAAGTGTCATTCCCTGAGCCCGGAGATGCTGTAATGCCTCAAATAAAATAAAGAGTTAAATAAAATAGACTTCAGTAAACCAAAGAGTTAAATAAAATAAATAGCTAAATAAAGCCTAATAAAATGCACTTCAGGTCTAGGCTGAGTATGTTCCCCCCACCCCTGCATCACAGGCTGTGCCAGGGAGCCGAGGAGCCAAAATGCAAAGTCTTTGCACCCCCACCCCAACAACCGAGCATCCCCTCTTCCAGGTGAGAAAACCCAGGAGGGAAAAGGAGAGGGATCGGGGCAGAGGTTTGGATTCCTGCACAGTGTGTGGCAGGGGGGAGAAAACAAGGTTAAGTTCAGTAATCAAATGGCAATGAGCCTCCTCTCCTGCAGCACTGGTATCTGCAGCTCCAAAGTATTTATTTTTGAAATGCTGCAAGTGGCAAGCGGCGCGGACGGACCCTATTTTTAGTGTAGCAGCCAGTGGCAATGGGTGAAAGAAGATTATTTCTGCCTTATTAAGAGCAGAAAGTGAATTTGCAAATATTACTCAGTAAGACACGGGCAGCCCACACGCAGCAGACATGCAGCACGGAGCCACCACGGCTCCAGAACCCTCAAAGTTCCTAAGGAAAGCACAGCCCCGGAGCCTGGGCAGGGAATGGGGGGGAAAGGTGGAAAAGAGAATTAAAATCCTGCTGATGGTGCAGCTCGGGAGGTGTGGGCAGCCCCACTGCCAGGGGATGGGTACTGGGTGCTCGGTCTGGGAGCCTGGCAGGGCCCTGGGGGCTCTCCCTGGGGACCAAGCTCCAAACATCTCTTCTGGGGGACCTGGCACAGTCCTGAGGGGTCTCTCTGAAGAGCCTGGTACAGCCACAGGGATGCCAGACAGCCCTGAGGGGTCTCTGCACAGGGACCCCGGCACAGGACTGGCATCGCTTTTTGGGGACCCCGGCACAACCCCGGGGTCTCTGCCCAGGGACCCTTGCACAGCCCCAAGCATCTCTCCATGGGGACCCCGGCACAGCCCCGAGGGGTCTCTCCTTGGGGACCCTGGGGCAGTCCTGGGGGCTCTTCCTGGGGACCCTGGCACAGTCCCAGAGACCCCAGCACAGCCCCGAGGGTCCCACCCCAATCCCCCAGCACAGCCCCGAGGGTCCCACCCCAATCCCCTGGCACAGTCCCGAGGGGTCTCTCTTGTGGAGACCCCAGAACAGCCCCAGGGTCCCTCCCTGGTGCCTGGCACAGCCCCCAGGGTCTCTCCTGGTCGTTCTGCACAGCTCCAAGGGGTCTCTTTGTGGGGACCCCAGCACAGTCCCAAGGACCCTGGCACATTCCCAAGGGTTTCTCCCCAATCCCTGGCACAGCCCCGAGGGTCTCTCCCAAGTCCCTGGCAAAGTCCTGAGGGGTCTCACCCCAATCCCCTGGCACAATTCCAAGGATCTCTCTCCAATCCCTGGCACAGCCCTGGGGTCTCTCCCCAGTCCCTGGCACATTCCCGAGGGTCTCTCCCCAGTCCCTGGCACAATCCCGAGGGTCTCACCCCAATCCCTGGCACAGTCCCGAGGGTCTCACCCCAATACTGGCACAGTCCCGAGGGTCTCACCCCCAATCCCTGATGCATTCCCGAGGGTCTCTCCCCAGTCCCTGGCACATTCCCGAGGGTCTCTCCCCAGTCCCTGGCACATTCCCAAGGGTCTCTCCCCAATCCCTGGCACATTCCTGAGGATCTCACCCCCATCCCTGGCACATTCCCAAGGGTCTCACCCCAGTCCCTGGCACATTCCCGAGGGTCTCTCTCCCAAGGGTCTCACCCCATCCCTGACACATTCCCGAGGGTCTCTCCCCAGTCCCTGGCACATTCCCGAGGGTCTCTCCCCAGTCCCTGGCACATTCCCAAGGGTCTCACCCCAGTCCCTGGCACATTCCCGAGGGTCTCTCCCCAGTCCCTGGCACATTCCCAAGGGTCTCACCCCAGTCCCTGGCACAGTCCTGAGGGGTCTCACCCCAGTCCCTGGCACATTCCCGAGGATCTCTCCCCTGTCCCTGGCACAGCCCCGGGGGTCTCTCTGCAGGGACCCCAGCCCCATGTCCCCCCGGTGCCAGCCCAGCCCGGGCTGTGTCCTGCTGCAAGGTGAGTCACTGTCACCAGCTCCTCGAGGTCACCCACCCGGCAGCTCCAAAAAGTGCCGTCATTCATCCAAGGCAAAGCATGGTTTTGCCATTATTATTTAATTAGGCTTTTTTTTCTTCTTCTTCTTCTTTCTCTCCCCCTTCCCTAACACTGATCTTAAGAGCTCTCAAAGCAAAGAGAAGCAAAAATAGAAAATGCAACATTTTAATTTTTTTTTTTTCCTCTCAGATTGCTGCAAGGGGAAGGGAGAGACATGGCTAGAAAATACAATTATTCTGCAGAACAGAGTATTTTGCCATCTAATAAAAAGTCAAGACCCCGAGTAAGTTACGGCCACAGGAAAGCACAGAGCACCCCATCACCCTGCCTGCAGCATCCCATCACAAGCACTAATTCCCATCCGTAACACATCAAAAAAGACAAGTGCCATGCTGAATCCTATTCTCCTCACTCCTAGTACACAACAGCAGAGCTAGCAATATATAACATGCATGACTCAGTCCTAGCACCGTGCCACTACGGAACAGAAAGCTTTAAAATAAAGTAAATATCTTAAAAGGTCAATTAAAAAAAGCTTACAAAACATCAGACGCTGCTTCTCGCTAGAGCTCATTACCTAGTATGGTGGAGCTGCCTGTGTGTTTTTTTTTCTTGTGCAAGTTAGTCTGTGAGTCAGCATTAACACACATGAGAACATCAGGAATACTGCCTAGTTCTGATGCAATGGAGGTTGTAAAAAAAAAAAAAAAGAAGAAGAAGAAGAAGAAATCGCACTCGGTTTGGACAGGAGCCTGTAATTCAATTGCCTTTACTTTTCAATTACTGCATAGCCTACCCTGACCAACCTGCAGAGGGGAAGGAAACTTTGCTTACATCTCTGTCTTAAAATTAATGACTTTTACTTTTGGCTACAGCTTATTCTCCCTGCTTAAAAAAAAAAAAAAATACATAGTATAATTAACCCTTCAAGGGCAGCTGAGCCCGTGAAGCAATTGGGATCTTTGTGTTTTTTGTAGGAATTTCAGGGCTGCCAAAAAGTTCTGGTGAAGGGAGACATTTATACATTAAACTTTTAATACTCAATAAAGCAAAGCTACAATTGCATCTGAGCTTGATCCCTAATGGAAATAGAAGCTTGCAGACAAGGGAAGTTAAAGACTGCAGAAATTTAACTCTGTGCTTCTGGGTTCAGACAGGCAAATACGAGACTGCACAGGAGCTGCTACAAAAATGAGGGGCTTGGCCATCCAGCACAAACCCTGAGAAATCCAAAATTGGTGACATGAGGTGGCCACCCCAGCCTGACACCCACTTTGCCCAGGCAAAGCTGAAAACCTTGTTTTTAATATATTGCATTTACTGCTTGTACTCCAGCAAAGAATTCCCTGTCTCCCCTTTCCCTGGGGGAAAACCCCTCCAGACTGATCCCTGCTCCCAGGAGCATCGAGCACAGAGCCTCAGCACTGACTTTTCACTTCTGCCTCCTCCCCTCCTGCAACAAAACCCCTCACTGGGGGCAACAAACTGTGCCCAAAGCTTCAGAATGTGACTATTTCTGTATCACACCCAAAAACACCCCCAGACAACACTGCAGCACAGAAGACTGTATTATATATACACTGCTGGTGATTATCTATATGAAATACAATAATATAGATGATGTATGATCAATATATTGTTTTTTTTAATATAAATCATAAGCTAAATTATGTCCACCAACATCTGACAAGTTCTGAGCTGCTGGGAGAGCCCCCTAAAATCTGGGGTTTTTTTAAATCTCTGCAGTAGAGAGATGTCAGAGTTTGGAGTGAGAAAGTCTCCACCAGCTTGAGCTGGTCCCACACCAACAAACACTGACCAAGCCCCCAAAAATATAAATACGTCTATCTACTTCATATGGACTCATAATGCAGTGGATCACAAGAAATGCCAAACCCCAGTTTAGTTTGCTGGTTGTTTGCATGAGTAGGCACAAACACTGCAAAACCCTTTCTTCTTTCCAAGTATAAATACTTATTAATGCTGATTAACCATCACAGAACCCTCTAATATTAGAGATCAATCTCTTCTGCAGCCTCTCCTGCAGGCAAGGGTCTGTCTCAAACCAGTATGAGCCTGGTGGGGTTATTCTTCCTTAAGCATGTGGGATACTTGAATACAGATGAATTGAGTTTTAAAGGAAAAAACCCAAGCAGCAACTTCTGGGCCAAGTTCTTGTGTGCCAAACTTTTCAACTGCCACAGCACAGCTCGACAGTGTTTCAAAAGAATTTAAGCACTGTTTTGAATACTGCTGACAATCTTCCTCATCAAAATTTGTAATTTAAATACCTCAAATCTGAAAAGCACGCTCCCTGGGGCATGCTTCATTCTCCCTCCCCACCACCCACCCTCCCCAAGCCCCATTTGGAATAAAATCCGTTGCTTTCCCTATCTGGCGGGGTTTTCCCCTCCTGCTGCAGCCCCCCAGCATCCGCTGCATCCCGCAGGGATCCCAGCAGAGCTGGCTCTGCAGGGCAGCCCTGGATGGAGCCCCTGTGTGCACCCCAAAACACAGCCCCCTTCCTCTTCTACAGCTCCTGAGGCTGGCTTGGAGATGAAACCAGTCACTGGTTTAAAGATAAGATCAGCCACTGGTTCGGAGATAAAATCACTGATTTAGAGCGAAGTCCAATTAGTGATTTAGGGCCAAAACTAGTAACTGATTGAAAGCTAAAACCAGTTAGTGATTTAGGCCAAAACCAGTAACTGATTGAAAGCTAAAACCAGTTAGTGATTTAGGNAGTAACTGATTGAAAGCTAAAACCAGTTAGTGATTTAGGCCAAAACCAGTAACTGATTGAAAGCTAAAACCAGTTAGTGATTTAGGGCCAAAACCAGTTAGGGATTTAGGGCTAAATCTAGTTACTGATTTAGGGCTAAAACCACTGACTTAGAGCTAAAACCAGTGACTGATTTAGGGCCAAACTAGTTACTGATTTAGGGACAAAACTAGTTACTGATTTAGGGCTAAAACCAGTTAGTGATTTAGAGTTAAAACCAGTGACTGATTTAGGGTTAAAACCAGTGACTGATTTAGGGCTAAAACCAGTGACCAATTTAAAGCTAAAACCAGTGACTGATTTAGGGCTAAAACCAGTTAGTGATTTAGAGTTAAAACCAATGACCAATTTAAAGCTAAAACCAGTTGCTGATTTAGAATTAAAACCTGATTTGAAGCTAAAGGCAGGCAGTGATTCCGAGCTCCAAGCAGGCTGTCCTGCCTCCTGCCCCGAGAAGGGGTTCATCCAAGGAGCCCCACTCCCACCCCTCTGCTCTCCAGTGGGTAAGATGTTCCTTCAGACACTCAATAACCCCCCCAAATAATTCCCTGCCACCGAGCCTAATCCCGGAGGAGCAGCTGGGGGAATTTCTTGGGGTGGCTGTGCCGGGGGAGCAGCAGCTCCATTTTGGCAGGAGCGTGTTTAAGATTCCCTCCCAGCTCTGCAAAGCACCTTGAAAGGTCGGCGAGCGCTTTCACATTCCCCGATCCATCTCCGCCGCCGCCGCCGCAGACGAGAGGGATTGACCTAGACAAGAACTGCACCAAGGCTCCGTGAAATAATCCATCAGCAGCCCTCAGCTGCAGCAGCCTTTGTCATGGGAACGCTGGGGAATCTCACCTACCTACTGCAGCTGAGCAGGGGCTGGAGAGGCTTTAAATCCCAGCCCTGCTCTCCTGGGATGCCAGCAGAGCCGGAGCTGCGCAGCGCCACAGCCAACACCTCCATATTCCACGGATTCCAAAGCCTGTGCCCATTACCCAACTCATTAAAGACAGTGATACTTTGTAACACACTCTAATCTTTAATATTCATAGCTTGCTTCATTTGCATATCATGCCATAAATAGTTGGAGCAGAGGTAAAACACAAAGCGCTCCACTTGCATTTCTAATTACGCCTAAAATCAAATGTAAATCACAACACAGCCAAGACACAGAAAATAATAAATGTGCTGGCTCTCAGTTAAAAAACCTTTAAACATACTCCCCCCCCCAAATCGTGCTCACAAACCCAATTAAAAAGAAAAATCAAAGGGGCTCACGCTGTCTGTTTTTAAAGAGGAGCTGACACATCCCAGCCCCAGCCCTGGTGAGGGATCCAGCAGCATTCTGTGACCTCTCAGGGCCAGCCCATCTCCCCCAAAACCATCCCTAAAAACGTAGCCTTCCCATGGGGCTGGGCTGCAGCTGCCCATTTAACCTTGGTCTTTGCAGGAACATCAGGAGCCTTTTGCTCTGGGATGCCTGGGAAAGCTGATCTCAGGCAAAGGAGGTAAATTGGAAACATCAGCTCAAATCTGAACTTGTGCTAATTGGGCTGGCTGGAGGTCGGGGCTTTAGATTTGGGAGAGGGAAGGAGAAAGGCCCTGGGGCTGGGAGCTGCTCAATCCCAAGGTTTAATGAGGAGGTTTTGGGGTGCTGGCACTCAGCAGCTCCGTGTCCAGAAGGAAACACACAATTCCTGCTCACAACGTCCCAAAAGCATGCACAGGGTGTTCTTCTCTGCTGTGTTTTCTCCTGGAACATGGAAGTGCCCTCAGAGGCAGGAGCTGCCCCTCGGTGGGGCACCAGTCCTGTGGAAAAGGCTCAAGACCCCATTCCACCCCTGCTGATGCTCTGCCATCAGTGTGCCCTGAGCTCTCTGCAGACACATCCCAAATATCAGCCCTTGCTATGGCAGCTGCAGCAAATTCACCTGCCTCCCCCAGGAAGGATCCTGGGGGACTCTCTGGTGCTGGCAGACTTCAGTCCCCAGCCACCACAATCCTGGAGGATTGGTCTACAACCACACTCAATTTATCAGCTTTTAGGGACCAGGATTGCTCCACAACAACACTCAATTTATCAGTTTTAGGGACCAGGATTGGTCCACAACCATACTCAATTTATCAGCTTTTAGGGAAAAGCGTGGCATCAGCTGAGGCTGCATCCTTGGGGCAAACAAACACCTTGAGGTGTTTTTACCTGCACAGATGAACTGACCCCAGCTCCCCCAGCTCACAGAGGCACCAGAAGACTTTGTATCTGCAAATCACCTCAATATCTTTGGATAAAAAGTGTTATTAGCACATTCCTGACAGTGGCTCAAATAATTTCCCTGATGCTTCTGCAGCAGGCACTGTAAAATTCTCTTGATTTTATGGAAAGTGTAAATGGAAATCCTCTTCATTTTACAAAAGCCCATCACCAACACCATGTGAAAATGCACATTTTTAGTTCAAGAGCACTGCAACCTCAACCCAACCCTGCTCCTTGCCCACCACACTGATCCAACAAACTGCTGCTCCTCCCAGGAAGCTCAAAACCTTCCTGATCTTCATCCATCTCTCCTCTCCTCCTCTTCACCTCCTAAGAAACTACTCACAACAGAGACAGCAACCACAAGACTCAAAAGTTTTACAGATGTATGCCCAAAGACGGAATTAAAATAAAATGAACTGAATTTTACAAAAGCAGGACAAAAATCCCACTCTTTGGGAAGGCATGAGGTGCCCTGGCCTGGCAGAGGACCCTGGAGTGAGGAAGGCTGGATGCCACTGGGATTTTTTCCCACTTATCTTCACTTTCCCACTGGGGCTCCAGCTGCATGAACCCACCACACCTGAATGGAAGGCTGTCCCCAGGGAAAAGGGCATTTTAAAGTCACTTGAACTTAAAAACCAATTGAACACAGACTCATTTTGAAGGAATCAGTTAAATACCACCATAGTGAGCTGGGCACCTCTCCCTCCTGAGATTTCTCCCATTTAACAAAAGGCTGAAGGAAGTGAAAAGTGGAAAGAAGGAAAAAAAAATCTCCCATATTATCACTGCCGTATTCTGCTCCTGCTTGTACACTGGTTTTCCAGGGTCCCTGAATCCCATCAGGGAATGAGTCCAGAGTTCCCCAATTCTTGCCCTCCTCTGGTGCTGCAGCCCATCCTGCCCCTTTCTCAGAAATTACACTGCATCAGCTCTAAGAAAGAGTTAAAAGGTTTTTTTCCCGGCCATATTGACTTGCAAAGAATTCCAGAGACATCATTAAATTTAACCCCAAAAGGTGAGCAACTGCCCCGTGCCCCAGCCT